GTTCACATATTGAGCGTGTACATGACAGTTGTGTTCACATATATGGCGTGTACATGATAGGTGTGTTCACATATTTGGCGTGTACATGACAGTAGTGTTCACATATGGGGCGTGTACATGACAGTTATGTTCACATATGAGGCGTTTATATGACAGTTGTGTTCATATATTGGGCGTGTACATGACAGTTGTGTTCACATATTGGACGTGTACATGGCAGTTATGTTCACATATTAAGCGTGCATATGACTGGCGTGTTCACATATTGGGCGTGTACATGACAGTTATGCTCACATATTTGGCGTGTACATGACAGTTGTGTTCATATATTGGGCGTGTACATGACAGTTATGTTCACATATTGGGCGTGTACATGACTGCTGTGTTCACATATTGGGCGTGTACATGACTGCTGTGTTCACATATTGGGCGTGTACATGACAGTCGTGTTTCACATATTCAGTGTGAACTTGACAGTTCTGTTCACATATTTGGCGTGTACATGACATTTGTGTTCTCATATGAGCGTGTACATGACAGTTATATTCACATATTGAGCTTGTACATGACAGCTGTTTTCTCATATTTGGCGTGTACATGACAGTTGTGTTCACAAATTTGGCGTGTATATGACAGTTGTGTTCACATATTGAGGGTGTACATGACAGTTATGTTCACATATGTAGAGTTTATATGACAGTTGTGTTCATATATTGGGCGTGTACATGACAGTTGTGGTCATATATTGAGCATGTACGTGGCAGTTATGTTCACATATTTGGCGTATATATGACAGGTGTGTTCACATATTGGGCGTGTACATGACAGTTATGTTCACATATTGGGCATGTACATGACAGTTGTGTTCACATATATGGCATGTACATGACAGTTGTGTTCACATATATGGCATGTACATGACAGTAGTGTTCACATATTTGGCGTGTATATGACAGTTGTGTTCATATATTGGGCGTGTACATGACAGTTGTGTTCACATATTGGGCGTGTACATGGCAGTTATGTTCACATATTTGGCGTGTACCTGACAGTTGTTTTCACCATATTGAGCGTGTACATGACAGGTGTTTTCACTTATTGGAAGTGTACATGATGCGTTCACATATTGGGCGTGTAAATGACAGTTGTGTTAACATATGAGCGTGTACATGACAGTTATGTTCACATATTGAGCTTGTACATGACAGCTGTTTTCACATATGGGGCGTGTACATGACAGTTGTGTTCACATATTGAGCGTGTACATGACAGTTGTGTTCACATATATGGCGTGTACATGATAGGTGTGTTCACATATTGGGCGTGTACATGACAGTAGTGTTCACATATTTGGCGTGTACATGACAGTTATGTTCACATATTTGGCGTTTATATGACAGTTGTGTTCATATATTGGGCGTTTACATGACAGTTGTGTTCACATATTGGACGTGTACATGGCAGTTATGTTCACATATTAAGCGTGCATATGGCAGTTATGTTCACATATTAAGCGTGCATATGACTGGCGTGTTCACATATTGGGCGTGTACATGACTGTTATGTTCACATATTTGGCGTGTATATGACAGACGTGTTCACATATTTGGCGTGTACCTGACAGTTGTTTTCACCATATTGAGCGTGTACATGACAGGTGTTTTCACATATTGGAAGTGTACATGATGCGTGTGTTCACATATTGGGCGTGTACATGACAGTTGTGTTCACATATTAAGCGTACATGACAGGTGTGTTCACATATTTGGCGTGTACATGACTGCTGTGTTCACATATTGGGCGTGTACATGACAGGCGTGTTCACATATTGGGCGTGTACATAACAGTTGTGTTTCACATATTGAGCATGAACTTGACAGTTGTGTTCACATATTGGGCGTGTACATGACAATTGTGTTCACATATTGAGCGTGGACATGACAGTTGTGTTCACATATTGAGCGTGTGCATGATGCGAGAGTTTATATATTGGAATTGTACATGATGCGTGTGTTCACATATGGGGCGTGTACATGCCAGTTGTGTTCAAATATTGAGCGTGTACAGTTTGGGTGTGTTCACAAATTGAACGTGTACATGATGGGTATGTTCACAGATTGAACGTTTACAAGACGAGTGTGCTCACATATCGAATTTTGTCAAGTATGCGTGTGCTCTCATTTTTGAAAACATACGCAATACTTGTTTCAGCACATTTGAACGTGCACATGATGGGTTGGATAAACGTGAACATTTATCCTGTTATCACATATTTGTCATGTGCATGATGCAAGTGTTAACAAATTGTACACGTGCATTGTCTCATATTGGACGTGCAGATAATGCGTCTGTTCAAGTATTGAACTTGTACATGGGTGTATTCACAAATTGAACGTGTAGATAAGGGTTAATTTCTCATTTTGAACGTGTAGATAAGGGTTAATTTCTCATGTTGAACGTGTAGATAAGGGTTAATTTCTCATATTGAACGCGTAGATAAGGGTTAATTTCTTATTTTGAACATGTAGATAACGGTTAATTTCTCATACTGAACGTGTAGATGATGTGTGTGCTCGCATATCAAACGTTTACACGAAAGTTCTGTTTACATTTTTGCGTGTACGTGATGGTCGTGTTCACATATTAAACAGACACTAAATATGCTGACATATTGAGAGTTTACATTAAGGATGTGTGTTGTCATGTACTGGACGTGCACATGATGGTTGTGTTCACGTTTTGGACGTGCACATGATGGGTGTAATATCAAACGCTTACATGATGGATGGGTTTGCTTACTGAATCTGTCAATTCTGCGTGTGCTCTCATACTTGACATGTACATCATAATTGTGTCCACACATAAGACCTGTGCATGATGGGTGTACTCAAATCACTGGACGTGAACATGATGGGTTTGTTCACAATATGAACGTGTACATTCTCACATATTGAACGGATACATGATGGGTTTACGTACATACTGGACGTGTACATGTTAGGTATGATCACATTATGGACGTTCATCATGGATATTTCTTTCACATATTGGACGTGTACCTTGTCACACATTGAACGTATAAGATAAAGGTGATGTGCATGTGCAACGTGTATATGTATGTAGAATGTGCATCACTTGCTTCACGACGCCATTAAATTCTATCTCAAAACGACGCCTTTCACTGTAGAAGTTGTGTTTGCTCAAAATTATCATCATTCTTCATCTTAAAACTCTTTAGCACCACTGTTGCCCTAATATGGATACAAATTTATCAAAAGCCTGTGAGCGAAATGGTCAAATTAATTGCATTAAAGTCTGATTATAGAAGAAATAATAAAGACAATATTCGATAAACCAAACAAACAAAACTTTATCACGGTCACAAGATTGGCCGATCGTCGGACGTGATTGTGTCACGATATATATCATCAGCTCTTTCAGATGCACAACAATTTCATGCATGTGAACAGAAATCATTAAAAAATTGATACAAGGGTGTGGGTAAAACAATTGTCATCTTGACGAAACCAACTGTGATGCTCCTTCTGAACAATACTGCTGCATATTCTTCTCCTAATAAATATGTATTGGAATAGAAATTTCATTGGCGATTGAATTTCCTTACATGCATATAAAGGCGTAGATTGATGCAGTGAAAGTAGTCATATTCAGATTTTTTCTAATATCAGAACATTTTTAATCGTACTAACCTAACACTAGAAAGTGTTCCATTCGAGGGTAATATTACTGACGTATTCATTGGTTATGGTACCACATCATATTTGCCCTGAGTACAATGCGGAACATAAACCAAAATCAAAATGTATGTACATCTATGTTCACATCTGAGTTACTGAAAGAACATTCCTCGCTAACGGAAGACATAATAAGGTTTACGTGATTATTGCAATACAGCTTTAGAGTTCCATCGAAAGGCCCTTTGTCTTATTTAAGTGGCGTCATGATGAGAGATCGTGATAGTGATGCTATTTTCACATTCACCATTCAAAAAGTATATAACACAAACGGATAGTACATGAAAAAGACATTCCTCAATGAGTCTGTTTTTGACTTCGATTCGATTTTGGTATACTTAAATTATATGTTTCTGCAACAATAGGAAACACAATGGGTAATTCAGATCATATGTCCATTATCGCCGAGGCGTTTGGTATTGTGACAACCTTAACAAAACCACGATGTAACCTCAATCAGCTAGGTTCATAGCGTATACATGGTATGACAACGGTTACATTGTCTTCGACTACTGAAGAAAAAATGTATGTGACGATTTGTGCCAGAATGATGAACTGTTTCGGTTAATCTGTTTCTGAAGGTCATCATGCCACGAAGCTCCCTGTGCTAAAACGTATTTGAAGTGTGACCTAATGTTCACCTTTAGAATAATACACAGTATAAACTTCTTGAGGTGAGGGTTAGTTTACGCCTGATTATCTCTCTTCTGGATCTGGGCTAACACCTTATGTGTTTGTATATACATAAACTCGAGGTTTAAGGGGGACAAAAATATGAAAATAGACTGGACATATAGGACAAAATACTAAAGTTAAAAGACAAATTGAATAAATTCACAAATCTATATAGCTTCAAGCTCACCAGGACAGTAACAGTAAGTATAACATGCAAATGTACTGGATATAGGTTAACAAGTCAAAACGCAAATTCAGACATAAAATGAAAATACAATGAACATAAAAGTGAATCCAATAACAATTGAAAATTAATAAAAATGGATCTGTACAGGCATAAATCAAAGGAGGCAAGGAAAGTGAGAACATCACCACCACACCATACAATACACATACTGGGGATCTACCCCTGCGGAAATAGGGTAATTACGACAAAGCACATGCAAACAGACTTGATCAGAAAGGAAGGAACAAAGTTTCTCCCGCCACTATCAGGCATTCCCCAGTTTAAAGAGTCTCCACCAACGTTTTGACCAACACTCCCTCCATTGCCAGAGCCTTCCTTCTCACCGGAAAGTCTTGTCTGACATGTTTCCCCGTCATACCCGGTGTTGGTACAGTTGCACATGCAGACATCTTGGATCAGCTGGCCGCCATTTTGACATTGGATGTTATTGCAGTTCGGAAGAGCTAAAGAAGATAGTGCGAATGCATTATGTAAAATAATCTCTTCACATGGTGAGTATAAGGGACAGTTTACGCAACATTTCTGCAATATGAGGATACAGCTGGGTCTGTGACATGACAAGCGAAAAGTTTAAGAGATGCGATAAACTAGTGTAGTTCATCAAGAAAAAGATCAGACGTCATTCTACGGATGGTGAAATGTCTTTTTTCAGAAATGTACATCTAAACTCCAAGATGAACAGCAAATATGTTTTCAGGTCAATAATGTATAACGGGTTTCGAACAGGTTCGGTTGTATTAAATTCCAAGTGTCAAATACTGACGGTTGAATAGTGGTAGGTCCTTGGGGAAAGACTCATACGTTCCGGGTTAGAATTGATCTTCAGTAACCCATTTTTGTCGTAAGATGCAACTAACGGGAAGGGGTGGTCAGATTCGCTGACTTGGTTGACACGTGTCATCGTATCACAACTGCGTAGATCAATGCTCATGATGATGATTACTGGATTGTCTGGTCCAGACTCGATTATTTACAGACTGACACCATATAGCAGTAATATTGCTGGGTTCGGCGTTAAACAACAAACAAACAAACTTAATCATACTAATAAAGTCTTTAGCCGTCGTTACCTCTGTGCTCTTCCTAACTCGCGAAACATTTACAAGTGAAATACAAAGATGTTTTACTCCATATATCAGTATTATTGCTGAGTGCGACGTTAAACATCAAAGAAACAAACAAAAAACATTGCAGGAAACGTTTCAATGGGTATCCTGAAGTATTGCATATAGTATTACTCAATGGGAATCAGTATCGTCACTTACCGCATAGCTTGTTGACACAGACCCTACCAGGTGGACACTCTGAACATGGTTCGCCCCTTTTGAATAGCGGAATTCCACGGGTGTTTCCTCTGTAAAATCAGATTGTGCCTACATATGCCGAGCCTTCTGATAAAAATATTTCCCAAGCTGGATAAAAATTAGATCTGTCAAATCCTACCCGTGACTCTTGTTTACGTTTTATCAAACAAGTAGTCAGTAATCAGGTTTGAAGTCACTTGATATTCGGGAAGATGATCCTGTTTAGGAACTAATGTATGACTGTAGATAAATATACTCAGTGCCATTATTGAAGGGCCATGTGTCTTTTGCATTGCTAGGAATCAATTCCATATTATGAATATAAGTAATGCAAAGTCAATACTGTTTAAAACCCTGTTGACATAAGACACCATAGAACACATTAAGCTACGCACATGTCTCAATGATTGGGAAGTTAAAGATATAGAGTGTTCCAAAAACATTATCATTTTGAACACTGTCAGAGTCTGTATCGTGGAAACGCAGCATTTAGTCTTGTTTTGCACGAGAAAGTACGACTTCCCATGCACAGGTTTAGGCTATTAATGTTAACAGTAGTCTCACCCTGACATCATGGTTTCTGATACGAAATGAGACGTTTCCTGAAGGTAGCAGAGAGGGGTCAAGCAATTGGTCTCATGTGAGTCAAAGTGTCATTTGGAGACTGTGGCAAAGGTGTCAAGCCCCACGTGATCGATGGAATATGCGAGAAGACCAGGTCGACCAAGAGTTACCACTGCAAGGCAAGACTGGCACTTGGTTAACGTCGCTTTACGTAACCGATTCGTGACCTCCAGTGACCTTCAGACTGAACATTACAATGTTCATGGTGTCAGGATAAGCAGGAACGCCATTCGACGCCGATTACGTGCCAGTGGGCTCCGCTCAAGGCGACCAGCAGTCCGTCCACCACCACTTCTATAACGTCACAGACATGCATGTGTAGCCTGGAGTAGACGTCACGGTCGTTGGAATCAACGTCAATGGTCGATCGTGCTCTTTACAGATGAAAGCCGGTTTAATTTGTCTGTTAATGATGGTCGTCGAAGAATATTCCGAAGAAGAGGTGAACGGTTCATGATGCTACAGTTGTCACACACAATAGGTTTGGTGGTGGGTCAGTCATGGTTTGGGCCGGTATCATGGCTACAGGAAGAACCCAGCTTCACATTATTGATGGAAATTTGACTGGTCAGCGGTATCGAGATGAAATCTTGACCACCCATTGCTATTCCCTTTTTGCAAACTATGCATGGATTTTATGGTCGTGACCCTCTTTTACAGGACGATAATGCCAGACCTCACAGAGCCAGGATAGTCACAGATTATCTTCAGTAACAGGGTGTAGAAAGGATGGACTGGCCGGCATGTTCACCTGACCTCAATCCAATCGAGCATGCATTGGATGAACTTGGCAGACGTTTATACATACGTCAACCTGCTCCACAAGATCTACAGGTTCTTCGGAGAGCTCTTGTGCAAGAATGGGAGGCAATTCCACAGGCATTCTTCATGAACTTGATCAGAAGCATGAGGTCTCGGTGTAACTCTGTCCAGGACCAGAGAGGCGGCTACACAAAGGACTGGTTGGTCCTTACCGTTTTGACTTACCGTTTTGGGGTATCCCTTTGTTTGATGTCCGTGTAGATACAGTCCTGATCCTTTTTTCACAGCATAGTTAATACACTATCTTTTCTTTCTATAATCTTGTCACAGCATACTTTATTTTGCATTATATTACCTTATTGCTTCATGACCCTTCAATAATGGCACTGAGTATATATATCTTTTACATATGGTATCAACCAAATACATTAAGTAATCTTAAGAAAGGTTTGTTGGGGTGTTGTATAACGCCGCACTCAGCAATATTTAAGCTATATGGCGGCTTACGAAAGGTCGATTTCGAACTCTTGGTATTACTATACAAGACTAGCGTTTATTGATCGCTTGTTAAAGTTAAATATTTGTAAACATCTATTTCAGGACAGCTTAATGATACAACTGTGTAGTTATTTAAGGATGCCTCAAAGAAATTTAAGCTTTCATTTTTAGCATGTTTTTTTCGAGCAATTATTATATCAAGTGAGACATCGAAAGATCGCCTACCACAAGCACGAATATGGCCCTGAGAAATCTGAGGGCTCGGGTTGAAGTAGTCTTTTAGGATACACAAGGGAACTTCACAATTCAAAGAACACCAAAAGGTTTTACAATATATCCCGAGTGTCGACATTATGCACACACACGTAAGTACTCACAGCGGCCCATAGTCACAGACCATGAAGAAACCATCCCGGACCCATCTCGAGAACCCCATTTTGCTGCAGTATCGTACAGAACACCCCACTGTTTCCGTGTTGAACCACACCATCTGTGACAAACAAATTGAATTCAAAATTAAAATTATTATGGCGTCTCCAGTGACATCTCTGTCATAACAATTTATAGAATTTGTGTCTGGCCAATTCCCACTGAAAGAGTCAAAACAATTTCGCAAAACATTCCTGACACCCCACAAAGGATGGAGAAGGACTTAGGGGATGTGGTGAAGAGGTGTTTTAATCAACTGAGAAAGAGCAGCGGCAACAGCGGCAGCCTATTTATCTATGACATGTCTGGAGCAGGTCTGATGATGTCCTTTGTCTGTAAGGACGTAATTACTACAATTGTAATGTGACGGCCAAAGGCACAGACCATACGCTTATGTAGCCTTCTTGGAGTTCCCTTCCTGTTGATTTCAAGTGTGACTCTTCCCTACCAACAATGTAAAGATCCACTTAAAACATACGTGTTCTATTTCTGTCCTTGTCTGGGCTTCGTTTTAATGGCGTTAGTCGTTGTCATTGCTTTTCTATATTTTATATTTTTTATTATATTCAGTCTACGTAAGACTGACTAACTGACTGACTGAGTTTGGTTTTACGCCGCTTTTAGCAATATTCCAGCAACATCACGGCGGGGGACACCAGAAATGGTCTACGTAAGAAATAATGATGTCATGATCATCATCAACCGTATGATGACTCCATTACGTATATTTTGTTTCACAAGGTGTGTCCTAGAGAATGTTTGGGTTCCGTTTGACAAAGTCTATTGATTGTCTGAAGCATATGTTAGCCTATGGGAGCTGCGACCATTAGTGCCGGACAGATATAGAATAGATGCAGTCACCTTTATCCCAGGAAACAAAGGCCGTTAAATAATCGAGTCTCCAGCAATTGATTCTTGGAGCAACTATTCCACAGTCGGCGGTGGGGTAGCCTAGTGGTTAAAGCGTTCGCTCGTCACGCCGAAGACCCGGGTTCGAATCCCCACATGGGTACATTCCGTGAAGCTCATTTCTGGTGTCCCCCGCCGTGATATTGCTGGAATATTGCTAAAAGCGGCGTAAAACCAAACTCACTCACTCACAGTCTGGGTGCGATCGGTACAATGCCACGCCTTCAGCCAGGTCTGACCACCATATCTGCCAAGTCGCATCTTACGACTAGCATAAGTTTCAGACTTTCATTTTTGTGGAAGCCTCGTAGGATGAATGGACTGATTTTGTGTGCTGGCGATTATGACACTTACTCTTGGAGGATGGGTTCGAATCCCGGATGGGATTTAACAACAAATGGTACTAGAATATATTTACATGTAAGAGTTATCCCAAATACAATATACATTACATGATGTGATTCTGAACGGTCAGTTGGCACAAGATCGAGAAAATTACGACTAATTTAGCGTCATACAATTTTCAACATCCTCAAACTACTAGTTAAGAAGTGCATATAGTCTCGAAGTGTGCGGCGATGAAGACAGGAAAAGACAACTCTCCTAAAGTCATCCCGTGCATACCGCAACACATCAAGGCACTACGTAACTTAGCAACTTTGAACATGGAGCATGAATTCCAAGGGCAGACATAAAAGGCATGCCTATTGACGTGTCCTTCAGACATTGAGCGTTGATGTCGATGTATTTCCGTCAGCTTGTGTGGTGATCAACATGCTTTGGCGGATGTGCTTGATAATATTGATGATCTACTATTCCCGCTTTGCATGCTTAAGTATACACAAAAATAATCATGTAGATGCATTTAACATTTATTGTTTTGTTTGTATCATACCGCTAATATTCACAAAACATGTGTTTTAGATATCTATCGAATTGTTCAGCATTCGGTTTGAGGCATAAGAAGAGGTTTTAAAGGGATGCACCTTGTTTTGGGGTCCTTAATCTGTTGTTTATGGACGCGCATTCTGTCCCCCAAGCACTCCTGTTTGTCCAATGTATTCTTCATGACACCCTTGGCATATAATAACATAAATAAATTGTTTTGCGGAGCTGTCCATGTTAGAGCGTACATGGAATAATTGTTTCCTGTTTTTAAACTTTATACATGAAGTTTCAAGTATATATTCACAAGTTCCACAATTTCCCCGTTTACCTTTTGAGACACTGAATTCTGTAGGTTTAATACATGAGTCGAATGTGGCACGTGTCAAAATATATTTATTCTCTCGGTCTTGTTTGCGTAATATATTACATCACACATGACTATATGACAGCTTCATGAAAATGACGGAAACCAATAATCACGTCTGGACCAGGCAAACCAATGGTTGATATTACGAGTAACGTTCGTCGCCTCCTTCATAGGTTGTGTCGGGCCAGCTGTTAACTGGATTCCCCATGTTTTTGCCATGGATACATACCTGGACGTAGTGACCGCACATCCTCTTGGAACGGCAGGTCAGTTCCGGGGTGAGGAACTTCTTCTCATTGTGCCACTGATCCAGCGCCCTAGTCGTATACATCCAAGCTGCAACACAACAAGTGTTACTTCACAACTAGCGGTTCGGTGGGGTAGCCTAGTGGTTCAAGCTTTCGCTCGTCACACCGAAGACCCAGGTTCGATTCCTCACATGGGTATAATGTGTGAAACCCAATTCTGGTGTCCCCCACCGTGATATTGCTGGAATATTGCTAGAATATTGCGGAGTAGAACTAAACTCACTGACTCATAACTAGGGACCGGTTCGACAAAGCAGCCTGGGCCCTTATTCTCGAAACGTTCGTAGCCCGAAGAATTCTTAACTTTGATCGTAGTCAATGTGTTAAGAATGGGATCAAGAGGTTCGTAGTGCTGCGAACGTTTCGAGAATAGCTAGCCTGAGCACTAACTGCCATACTTAAACATGGACGTACGACGGCGCTAAGACAGCTATAGGAATCAAGGCATGGGGCAGATAACAAAACATTACATCGGTTCCATCATTGTTCGAAAACCTTGAGATGAAGAGATCTTCAGAGTTTCACCATAGTTTTGAATCATTCGCATATCGTTTTCATTCTGCTTATGCTGATGTATGTACCTATTTCAACCAGTGGGTATTGTACTTTTATGGCGCTTTTAGCAATATAGCAGCAGCACTATTAATGGATAAGCTCTGTTCCCAGGATGCGACCGAGGTACGCTACATTCCCCCGCATGAAAACATGTTTACGTTAACTGGAGTTGAGTGAGTGAGTATGTTCTTACGCTGCTTTAGCAATATTCCAACAATATCACGGTAGGGGACAACAGAAATGGACTTCACACATTGTACCCATGTGGGGAATAGAACCCGGGTCCTCGGCGTGACGAGTGAACTCTTTAACCATTAGGCTACCCGCATGCCCGCCACGTTAACTGGAGGTCAGACGGTCATCTGCAATATGCAACCTTGTTTATTGTCATTCTTGTCTCAGGTACTTCCTGATAACGTGGAAGCGTTGTGTAAAGAGTGCCAAAGAGATTTTTGAAGAGAAAGGAAACATCTGGAACTATATTTTGAGAAAGGTATGACATAGTTTCTACAGACTGTAATTCCCTTCCCATGAATAAAGATTATAAGCTGATTTTACTGTTTATTTTACATATTCAGTGAATGATTTATGTCTGTGTATATGTCGCAGGCACCACCAGTGAGGGAGGTCGTCACGTCCGACACACGATGGAAGGCTTCATGGGTCAAGCCAACTGAACCTGTCCTACAATATGATACAGTGATATGATCACAGCGGACTTTCTAAACATTAAAATAACAGAAACTGTGCAAATGTATAATTTTCTATTCGTATTCAGCTTGGTAATATCTGTGTACCTTAACCCAAAGTAGAAGATCTGGTAACAAATGAACCTACCATTCGGCGTGTGTTTTTCATTGTGGAGTTAATAATAATAATAATGATAATAATAATAATAGCATGCTTGTAATGCGCCGTTTTCCATGTTAACATGCTCAAGGCACAAGACATAGAAGTATATACAAAGCAGACACTAAGAGAGAATAAAATATTAGAGATACATGGAGATACATGGAAACAATTCAATGAATTATCGAGTTGCGGTAAAACTATATGATGACACCCAATACTGATAAATATGGAAAGTAATTAGCGAGTGAGTGAGTTTATTTTACGCCGCACTCAGCATTATTACAGCTATATAGTGACGGTCTGCAAATAATCGTGTCTGGACCAGACAATCCAGTGATCAACAGCATGAGCATCAATCTGCGAAATTGGGAACCAATGACATGTGTCAACCAAGCTAACGAGCCTGACCACCCGATCCCGTTAGTCGCATCTTACGACAAACATGGGCTACTGAAGATCACTTCTAAACCGGATCTTCACGGGTGTGGAAAGTAATTATGTTAAAGAAGATCGCCATAATAGATTCATGTTTATAAATGTATTTGGATGTTCATGCTGACAGCAATGTTCCCTTGATTACATGTTATACTTACTGAGAGACAAGTACATGTTTTCTCCGACATATCTATAGTCGAAGCCTGGGATCCTGTGCCGTCTGTAGTTGTGATACCACATACATTTCCCCGTCCAGCTCTGAGCCAAACTTTCTAGTCCAGAGTGCCATAACTGCAGTATTAGTGAAAAGACGTGCATGTCATATATATATTTATATCCATCTTTACGACACTACTACTGCTGGATGCTACCTCTGATACTACTACTACTACTACTACTACTACTACTACTACTACCACTACTACTACCACTACTACTACACTACAACGACGACGACTTCTGCTGCAACTGATACTATAGCTACTACACACTTTAAAAAAAAGAAATGCATAAGCCATTTTTAGAAGAATTTATTGCGTTAGTTTTTAAGAGGAATTATTTCAAGTAATTTTAGTGGTAAAAAGGTGTAAATTCACAATTCTATAGACAAAGTGTTCGCCAACACGACAGCCTTTATTGTTGTGTTTCTGTTTACTTGAGTACACAAGATGACGTCAAAGTCAGTACTTTGTATGGCCACCATTGGCAGCAATTACTGCTTGGCACTGTTTCGGCACAGACAGGATAAGCCGACGTTGCCCTTGCGTCTTGCGGAATACTTCCCCACTCTCCCTCCAATGCGATGGCCAGTTGTTGAATTGTCTGAGGCGTGTTTTGACGTTGACGTACACGTCGATCGTGTTCATCCCATAGGTGTTCTATCGGGTTTAGATCTGGTGATCGGAAAGGCTATGGCAAGACATTGACGTTAGAATTGGCAAGGTAGCCGACCATGACGCGTGCTGTATATATGTAAAGTAGCGTTGTCATGCTGCAACAGCTCCCTCTGTCGGTCCATAATAGGAAGCATGTGACGTGCAAGGACTTCGTTGATGTACCGATTTGCTGTCAAATTCCCCTGAAGCACCACTAAATCAGATCTTTGTGTGCTGGATATCTCACCCCACACCATGATACTGTCTCCACCGAATCTGTCGACCTGTCGAATCCTATTAGGGGCAAAACGTTCATTTCTCCGATGGTAAACACATTGTCTTCTATCTCGCCGGTGAAGAAGAAATCGTGAAAGAGGACATCTAGATCTACAGAAAGACTATGACAACAAGAATATTGATTACGTAAAGTAATATACACCTATTATCATATGCTATTCTCCTGCCATCTGTAGTATCAGGTCTATCTAAACACGTAACCTTGTGATAATGGTATTGTGCAACAGTTGGTGGTTTCCAGACAAAGCGAAAATTGATTGAGGCACGTGGTCCCGTGCCCTTGCAATAATCATGCGAAAGTAAGAAACGACGGTTGGTGACAGTGGCCGTGATCAACTCGAATCACAAAGAGTCAGGAGCTTCGGTTCTTCCCAACAGTATTGTGTGTGCTGTCTCTTTGGGCATTATACCTCTGCTCACCTAGCAGTGAATGGGTACCCGGTAGGATGTACATAGGGGTTGCCATAAGGCTAAGAATGAAACTCTAGTGCACACTGATCTAAGGATAGGGGAAATAACAATGTAGCTCTGTGAGGGGGTCGCAATTTAAATCCACGTGGTAGTGGTTTATTGATTGAGTCAGTCAGTATGGATTTTACGCCGCTTTGAGCAACACCAGAAATGGCTTTACACATTGTATCCCTGTTAAGAATGGAACCCTAACCTTTAACATGATGGCGAACGTTTTAACAGCCAGGTTATCCCTCCACTCTTCCGGTAATCTTATAAGAAATATTTGCAATAAGTAGACCCTTCATTCTACTATTCATGAGCACCATAAGCATGTGTTTACTAAGAACTATGAAACTGTGATGATACGCCAGACAGTATTCAATTCAATTCAAAGTTTATTCTGTATAAATGCCATAGGCCCAAGTACAAAACTCACAAAACAATAATGACAGTAACAAAATGGTTAGGTACACCTGTCAAACACTTCATACCTTATTTTACAAATTTTGCTCATTTAATTAGGATATTCACTTTATCTCAACTTAATAACACAGTAAATTTATAAATAGAAGGATTTTTCCAGAAATATTCAAGAATATACTTGCGTCTTAAACGGAATAAACTTTATAATTAACAGAAATATAGAAAATCTTCTATACATCCATTCATACATAAATTACAAAATCGCTCATCGCGCACATTACCGCAACGTCTACCAACATTTATCATTACAGGCAATTAATCAGGTCTTAACAAAAATAATATATCATATCAATGAATAATATATTCACGATCCTTAAGAATGGATACATAATATTCAACTGTAAATAGAGATTTATATTTTTCATGGAAAGATAACTTATTTGATTCCCAAACTTTAGAAAACCAATCTTTCTGGTGGCAATCATTAACGCTTTGCACAAACTTACTAAGAAATAAAAAACAATTACCAACTGCCTGACAGATCCAAACAAATCCAAAACCGTAAGACGAAAATAACAATTTAATCTTTTGAAGCCCATGTAACACGATTACAGTCATCTAAAGATTTACAAAGAAGATAGCTTTGCTTAGGATATCTATGATTAGGCATTGATAGCAACTTTAACCAATACAGAATACATCTTTTATGACAATCAACAAATAAGCCATATCTACCACATTCACAAAGAGCAGCAACATTAGAAACATAATTACCTACACCAATAACATATTTACAAAACTTAACGTGAAAACGTTCGATGCATTCAATTTTGAATGACCCCACACTTCACTCAAATAGAGTAAGATTGGCTTAATCTTAGCATCAAATATATTTGATAAAACTACACAGTGTTGATCAGTGGCAACCGTCACTATATCGTATCTCCAAAATTGAATTTATACAATAAATAATCTTGTGACTTTTTGTGTGAAACGAGACTGTACTGATACAAAAGTTTTGGTTTCGGGACTGAATTGACTGGTTGTGATATTTGTAACAAATGGCGTGGAGATTCACTTATCCTCAGACATTTCAAGTTTCCTGTTAACCAAGACTTCTTCGGCGCATTCCATTGAATTGATATCACGTTTTGATATCAGGTGATATAAGTATTTGATGTGAATCGAAATCATCAAAAGTACTTCAAATGACAAAAAGGCCACATGTGTAGGTACACTCCCCAATACATTTATGTCCATGGTGGTTATTTGAAACCATTTCTTAAATAATCAAATGACTGTGCAAATATGTGTATTTATAAGCAAATATGATTGTTTTCAAGAAATTATCCATATGAGTTTCAATCAACACACAAGTAATCCATACCCTGACATCCGCCGCCAGAGAACATCAAAGCCAATTCCAAAGTAAATTCAGGGTCTTAATTATACTTATGGCGGACAAATGCTTTTGTAGTCCTACCTTGTTTTACATTGAAACGTCATAGTCATTCACAATCTGCTGCACCCGTGAAGATCCGGGTTAGAACTGATCTTCAGCAAACCGTGCTGTGGTCAGGCTCGCTGACTTGGTTGACACGTGTCATCGTATCCCAATTGCGTACATCGATGCTCATGCTGTTGATCACTGGATTGTCTGGTCCAGACTCGATTATTTACAGACCGCCGCTATATAGCTGGAATATTGCTGAGTGTGCTGAAACTCACTCACTTACTAACAATCTGCTGGAACTGAATATGGCATCCGCCACAAAGGATACATTACGATGCAAGCTGTGTCTGGTTAGCTGATATTTTAACACAGTTTATAAGTATGTACACCCAGTCCCCATATTTAATTGAAATGTTTAACATACCATTGATTTTCATTTCATGAATTTTCTCGAGCTTCTACAGAACAGCTGTCTGAGATTAAGAAACCTGAAACCCACACGTCTGGTGATATCATTGGAAACTGCATGCATACCCAAAAGAAAGATATTATTTTCCTATTCACAAGTGAAGTTTTAATCTGTTCTTCTAGCTGGATCAACATTAGCAGAATGCAGTTGTATTGTAGATTTTGGTTTTTTCTTCCATGACATGCACGGCATCTTGCAAAAATAATGATTCTTTTCAATGATTGTGAAATCACCACTGTAGGCTCTGGGATACAGAAACAAGCAGTTATTGAGTACCAGAACGAATGTTCCGAAAATGCAAGACTAGTGTTTGATTTCATTACACTGTGACTATATTCCCCCTAGACTTAAGTGACCCGTGAAGATCCGGGGTAGAATAGGTCTTCAGCAACCCATGCTTGCCACAAAAGGCGACTATGCTTGTCGTAAGAGGCGACTAACGGGATCGGGTGGTCAGGCTCGCTGACTTGGTTGACATGTCATCGGCTCCCAATTGTGCAGATCGATGCTCATGTTGTTGATCACTGGAGTGTCTGGTCCAGACTCGATTATTTACAGACCGCCGCCATATAGCTGGAATATTGCTGAGTGTGGCGTAAAACTAAACACACTCACTCACCCAAGACCTAAGTATCCCTGCTACCGGTTCTGCCAGCAGAGTCGTGAAAGTTATGTTGTTATCGCTACTCTTACTCGTGCAAGTTTTCCTAAAGCGTTCACTGTTAGTGTATTTTTCACAAAGGTATTGTGTCTGGAACGCATCAAAACTCCATTCTTTCACGCCGTATAAGAAAATATATTTCTCGATTACACGTTTCATTTACACTTTCCTCTAGACATAATTCATGTGTCGTTTGTACAATCGACTCATGTGGATAGAATTTTGTCGTTCTCATTTTTGTTAGTATATACACAAACTTCTTTGAAAGTGTGCAGCGTCACACATCCACTAAGAGGAAATCTGTCTGACAGCTGACTCATTCCTATTGGAGGTGTGAACATAACTCGAAATCAGCCCTGGTAAATACATTAAAAGAGGGTCTACAATTGATGGGGCGGCTTGGTAGCTTAGTGGTTAAAGCGTTCGTTCGTCACGCCGAAGGCCCGGATTCGATTCCCCACATGGGTACAATATGTGAAGCCCATTTCTGGTGTCTCCCGCCGTGATATTGCTGGAATATTGCTAAAAGCGGCGTAAAACCAAACTCACCCACCCACCCACCCACCCACTCACTCACTCACTCACTCACTCACTCACTCTACAAAATGGCTATACAAACAGATTGTACGCGATTCAAACCAACTGCCTTGTGATTTAAGG